GAGCGCCGACGGCGACGGCACCACCTCCCTCTGCCCGATATGTCTTAGACAGCCCCAGCCCATCGCTCAGGTCCGAGTAGAAGATGGGGAAGCGCGCGGGGCGGGAGGAAGTTGAGGATGCCGCCCCACCCACGCGTGATGGCCTGCACGGTGGTAAAGTAACTCCCCACTTGCCTTTTTTGATGGCTGAGGGGGGAAGTATAGAGCTCCGAGAACGAGATCCTGGGCGCCCCGTTTCACTCGCAACGCCACACCTCTACCAGCACATTTAGCAGGAGCAGCCCAAAGCTGAACGATATCCGTTTCTCGGTAAGCTCGATCTAGGCACACTGCACACCCCGTGCTAGAGTAAGTAAGCGGAGCCTTCTGATAGACCGATTCAATGATCGACCTCCCCTCGAGTCGTCGGCGAAGTACCACTTCTCCACGCCTACAGGATTAGGGAGTTCTTGCGAACAGCAATGCGAAAGCTCCGTGAGAAGCCTGCAGCAGATCGGCCATCCGAGTACCCGTCGCGAACATCGGATTGAACGCTACAACTCCGAGACCAGCACGAGTCGGCACCATGGGTCTGCTCTGAAGGGGCGCGCCTCGACCCTCCAACACCGTGTTCAGGTGTGGGGAACCCCTGTGCTATGCTGCCGAAAAGAGAGCCAGCATGGGCTGGAGGAGGAGGAGGAGGAGGAGGAGGAGGAGGAGGAGGAGGAGGATCGAGGATGTAGGAGGGAGAACGATGATGAATTTGTAGATGGAGAGCGGCAGGGGGCGGAGGTGGAGGAGAAGGAGGACCAGGGCGAACAGAAGAGTCAGCCTCTTGAATGCCTCTCGGAGTCTCCTCGGATGTCGCTTTGGGAGGCCTCTGCTGGCGTCTTGGAGGGGGCATCTTGACGGGCCCAGGGCTGTCTTTGAGCGTCTTGGTTGTCTCCGGGACCCTCTTGAGACCTCTTGGCGGTCTCTTGGGAGCCTCTTGGAGGCCCCTTGGGCGCCTCTTGGGGCAGTCTGGGCGCCCCTTGGGGCCATCTTGGGGCGCTCTTGCGAGCTGTGGGGGCGCTCGTGGAGCCATCTTGGACGACAACAATCAAAACAGAGGGGCGCTTCAATTAGGCTCCCCCATCGGGAGTCCGAACCATCTCCTTGTGGGGTTCTCTTGTGGCGCTCTTGGGTGCTCTTGGAGCCGTCTCATCCTAAGGCCTCGGAGGGCCATCTGAAGCGAAAAGGCAAGAAAGCAAACTATGATTATCCGTAAGGGCTTCGCCCCCTGCCGCCGGCCCCCTCTCTCGGAGAATGGGCCATGGAAGAGATAAGTCATGAGGCCTTGGTGCTGTCGTGCAGCAGTATCGGAACTTCATGCGAGGCCGATTCGCAATCGGCAAAACCAACTGATCACAAGAGGGGTTACCACACAGGGCGATTGGTAAGACGTGTATGGTTTACGAGCTTGGTTACCACACCTTGGGATTAAAGGGCCGAGGGAGTACTCGCAGTTTGGGTTACCACGCCTTGCCGTTGGCACCGAATTTCAGAGATGGATGGTGCGTGAGGGGTGACACCGAATTTCAGAAATGTGGCAAATCCCCTGTGTTTTTGGACCCTGACCCCGCGGATCTGCGTGAGGGGTGGCACCGAATTTCAGAAATGTGGCAAATCCCTGTGTTTTTGGACCCTGACCCCGCGGATCTGCGTGAGGGGTGGCACCGAATTTCAGAAATGTGGCAAATCCCCTGTGTTTTTGGACCCTGACCCCGCGGATCTGCGTGAGGGGTGTCGATTTCGAGCCCCCCCAGCAATTCAGACAACGCGCCCAGGTGGTGCTAAAAATCTGGTTTGGGCCTCCCTCCCCTCGCGCGGTCAATCAACTAGTTACAGTAACCAGCAAGAAGCAGAACTGTAACACTGGAAACTACAAACTACAACTGGTACAGGAAACTGCGAATCACGGGCCTACAGCCTGGTGGCCCCACAAGGGGGCCGGCGGATTTCTCTCGGGGTAGGGAAGGGTTTCGGCCTCTTGGCGGCCTCCTTGGGAGGCTCCGCGGCCACCTAGAGCCGTCTTGGAGCGTTCTTGGGGCCTCTTGGAGTATCTTTGGAGCCATCGTGGGGCATCTTGAGCCATCTTGCTCTTGGAGCCGTCTTGGGCCATCTTGAACGCTCCAACCCCTCGCGATCCCCCGTCCAAGTCCAGGGGAAGGGGTAATATGGTCAGGTCACGTGAGAAGTCTTGCGCCAGACGTCGCGCGAGCAGGGTGAAGCATGTCGATTGCGCCTGCGACGGAAAAAAACATGTCTGGCTGAAATGTGTCAGAGAGGGGGAGGAGGGGGAGGAGGAGAGAGACGAGTGAGGGGAGGGGGGACAATCGTGCCATGATCAGACAGCTGTCTCCTTGCTGCAGCTGCACTGGCCTCCGGTCAGAAGAGATCAGCCAGGCGGGCGTGAAGCCAGCGACCTCCATGCAATTATTCACCACCGTGTTGCCTCATATTTGTCGGGGGCGCCCTGCCGGCATTCGGAGCTCGATGCTGCCAGGCTGGAGGACGGAGTCGCTCATCGTGTCGTTGCATGGGCGCCTCGCGAGCTTCCCTACAATTATTATCTGTCGTGTTCTAATGGTTTCGTTCAGCGGCCTTTCTCTAGCAATGCTGAAGACGGCATTGTTGAACACGCAGCTGTAATCTGAAGGCTACATTCGGTATATCATCCTCAAGCACGTAGCCTGGACATCGTCTAGTGTACTTAGCCTTGGCTTAGAAAAGCAGCAGTAATACAATTGTTGACGCTTCGCTTATCCCCACCAGCCCATCCAGAAACGATGCCCAGGGGAGTTGAGGTGATCAAGGAAGTGGGGGAGCATGCAGAAGAACAAGGGGCGGGGGAAGCCGTCCGAGGTGGGGGAGGGAGATGAAGGATGAGGGAGGAGGAGGAGTAGTCGGATAAGAGGTGAAGGAGGAGGAGGAGGAGGAGGAGGAGGAGGAGGAGGAGGAGGAAACGGAGGAGGATGAGTAAACAAGACGATTATCAGAGACTCCTCGGATGTCTCTTGGGAGTTGCTTGGAGGCCTTTTGGAACGTCTGGGGGGCATCTTGGGTACTCGGGGATCCTCTTGAAGCCTGTTGGGAGCCTCATGGGAGCCTCTTGGAGGCATCTTGGGCGCCTCTTGGGGCTCTCTTGGGGCGCTCTTGGGTGCCTTGGGAGCGCTCTTCGGGCCATTTTCGAGGACATCGATCTTGGAGAGACTAAAATCGCCTCTGGGGCCCCTCTTGGGGCGCCTTGGAGCGCTCTTGGGCGCTCTTGGGACCGTCTTGGGGTTCTCTTGGGCCCGTCTCGGGGCCCTCGTGGGCCCTCTTCGAGCCACCTTGAGGCCTTGGAAGGCCATCGTAAGCGAAAAGGCGAGAAAGCGGAAGGATTTTGGCCTGTTCGGGGCCTTCTTGGGGAGCTTTTTGTCCTTTTGGAGCCGTCTTGGAGCGGTCTTGGGGCCTCTTGGAGCATTTTGAGAGCCATGTTGAGCAATTTGCGTTATCTTGAGCCATCTTGGAGGTCATCTTGGGCTCTCTGAGGCGATCTTGCAGCCATCTTGGGCCATCTTGGACGCCCCACCCCCTCGGGAGACCCCCCGTCCAGGTCCAGGGAAAGGGGCAGGGGGAGGGGTAAACCCCTCCCCGAAGGGGAAGAGGGGCAGATGGAAGACAAACCACCCTGGACCAAGGGCTGGTGGGATTCCATAGCTGCTTTGAAACCACACACGCCTTTGAACTTCTCGCATTCCGCTAAACGTTGCGTTGAACAAGCGAATGCTCGCGGCGCTGAGGCGCGAGCTCCATATTGAAAGCGACCGGTGCTCAGCCAGTGGTACTAAGGCGACAACCGCATTTTGAACTGGTGCCGCCTTCCATCCCTGAGGCTAGCGCAAACTTCAAGAACACGAGATTTCGCTGCACCAAGACGAGAACGGCATGTGAAACACGACCACCAAGGCCATCCACGAATTTCTTGCAAACCTGTGAGACGAGTGCGCACGGCGCGCAGGCGAGAGCCACATTTTGAAGACGCCCCCATACATCCGTGAAGGTGTTCCAAGCTTTGGGACGAATGTGCGCGTCGTTGAGGCGACAGCCATATCTCGAAAACTCTCCCCCTCCATCTCTAACAATGTCGCAAATGTTACGAATGCGTGCGGCGCGAATGCGAACACCACATTTTGAAAAGGAGCCGCTCTCCATCCGTACAACTGTTGCAAAGTATAAGCCGAATGTGCGCGGCGCTGTGGCGGAAACTACATTTTGAAAACGGCCCGCCTTCCATCAGTGAAACTCGTGCAAACTTTTGAGACGAGTGTGCGCGGCGCTGAGGCTTGAACTACATGCTGAAACAGGATCCGCCCTCAATCCGTGAAGCTGTTGGGAACGCTACGCAAGGATGTACGCGGCGCTGAGGCGAGAGTCACTTTGACAACGCCCCCAACACCCGCGAATGTGTTGCACGTTTTATGGCGAGTGTGCGCGGCGCTGAGGACGGAACCACATTCCGAACCCCCCTTTCCCTCCATCAGTGAAACTGATTAAAGCTTTGAAGATGCCTGTGCGTGGCGCTAAAACGAGAGTTTCATTTTGAGAGCGACTTGCCCTGCATCCGTGGAGCTGCATATCTCACGCTCCAGGATCATGCATGGCGACGAAGTCTCAGGTGAAATGCCCAGCCCGCCGTACCGACGCAGGGATGAACCATGTACCATCTACGTAACACGTACTGGGATGGATGGAGGAGGAGGCGGCAACAGGATAACGAGAAGGTTGTGGCGGGGAGGAGGGGGAATATTATGATTGGGGAAGGAGAGAAGATTCAGCAGGGTGGGTGGATGAGGAAAAGCAGGGGGGTTGAGTAGGGTTTGGGGGGGAGGAGGGAGAAAGGGAGGATGGAGGAGGGAAAGGAGGGAGGGAGGGAGGAGTGGGAGGAGGGGAAGGAAAAAAGAGGTCCCGCGACCGCCGCGAGGTGCGTGCTGAATTCAATGAGCGCGTGGAGAAGATTTTCAGGCAGCTCGGGGGAATGGGAGGCCGCGATCGGACCAGCGTGGATGGATGCAGCAGTTTCGCGCCGCCGCAACGCTGGCGTGATGCCTCCAATGTGTTGTTTGTTTGTTTGTTTGTTTGTTTGTTTGTTTGTGTGTGTGAGTGTGTGTTTGTGTTTGTGTGTGTGTGTGTGGTGGGGGGTATGGGGGGGCGAGTCGGGGGGCAGATGGAGCTTGTCAGCATGACGACAGGGAGGTTTGAGGACCACTTCGGAGCGAAAGTGGCCTCGGCAGGTTCGTGCTGCCATGATGCGGCGGCGACGTTGGCGCGGGCGTGCAAGGTTGAACGCCCTCCTGGGGCTCGTGTAAGTCCCCCGGGGCCCAAAGGATGCAGCCTACGGCGCGGAATCCGTACGAACGGTGAGGTCGAGATCCTCTGGGGACCTCCGGCAGAGGAGATCCTTCCGGGTTGTACCTTCACTCGACGTCGAAGCGAATGTCCCAGTTGATTTAGTCAACCCCCTGCGTGTCTCGGCGACGTTATCAACTAGATACCTGCAGTTGTGTTGGCTGCAATGCCAAAAATGCGCCCCGCCCCGCCGCGCGCGTCCGCTGGGCCGGCCGGGTTTCGTCTGTCTGTCGCAGTCACAAGTCTAACGTTGTCTATGCAGTTTTATCGCCATGGGAACAAGAAATACGTTTCCAATCCACCACTTGAACCTGACCCAGAGACTGTTACAGGATGAACACGAAACATAGCAACAATATAAGCAATAACGCATTTTGCCGATCACTTGGGCTACGAAAGTTCCCATCCTTACGGGAAAGTTTCAAACTATTGGCTATCAGCCGAAAGTTCGATCATCGATGCAAACGGCACCATCAATAAGGACAGTCTGTTTCAACCTTCGCGCGCGGCGAAGACCCCGCGTTGCATCCGACGGTTCTTTGGAACGGAACATGAAATATATCATATGAATTGTGCATGTTTGTGGGGCAGCGATCGGGCCTTTCTAGGTGGCAGCCGTTTCGGGGCGCGCGGCCGCCCTTCGCACTCGGCGCCCAAACTCGCATTGCACACTCGCACTTCGCACTCGCGCCCCGGGCTCGCCCCCGCAATCGCCCCCCGCGCTGTGCGCCCGCGCTCGCGCCTCGCACTCGCGCCCCGCACTCGCGCCCGCGCTCGCCCCCCGCGCTTGGCGCCCGCGCGACGCGAACGCGAGGCGCGGGTCAACTCGGCGCACTAAGTCGGGGGCGCCCACCCCGCGGTCAATTCGCATTCCGCCGTGGAGGAATCAGCTCGGCGACCGACTCGCGAAATCCATTCGGCACCTCCAATCGCGAAACCAAGGCGGCAAGTCAATTTGGCGCATCAACTTGCGAACTCAACTCGGCAGGCCGCCCCGCGAAAACAATTCTCTAAATCAACTCTATACATAAACTCGGCAAATCAACTCGGCAAATCAACTCGGGAAACCAACTCGGCAAACCAACTCGGGCAATCAACCTGGGGAATCAACTCGGGAAATCAACGCGTGGAACCATCTCGCCAAGTCAAAGCGCAAGAAGTCAGCGCCAAGTCCACTCGACATCTCAGCGTTCCGTGCACGACAACTCCACGCATCAACTCGGGAACTCAATTCGGCAAATTTATTATGTAAACCAACTCTGTACTTCAACGCTGTAAACCAACTTGGTACATCTGTAAACCAACTCGGGAAACCAAGTCGGGAAACCAACTCGGGAAGTCGAGTCGGCAAACCAGCTTTGCAAATCAATTTTGTAAATCATCTCTGTAATTCGACTCGGGAAGTCAACTCGTTTGATCCATTCGGTAAATCAACTCGGGGTTTGGTGTGGGGTCTGAGTGTGGGGTGCGAGTGTGTGCGTAGACTGTGGACGTGGGCCTGGCTGTCTTTCTGTTGTATCGCCGCTCGGCGAGCGGGGCAGATCTGGCGGCGCCCCCGAGCGCGGCCCTGCGCTCGCTCCGGTGGGTGAGCCCGGGAGCTATGCGTCCGGGCCCACGCCGCGTCTTTTTTCGGGCAAGTTGCGGGCCACCAGTCTCGGTGTCTGAGACGCTTAGCCCGCGGCTCCGCTCTCCTCGCAAGAGGGGCGCCGAGAGGGGCGGGCCGCGGGCCCCGTGACCGCGATCCGAAGTGTCCGACCTGTACAACCTATCGGGTAGGTCGAGTGCGTTCAGCATGCCCATCAATGCCGAGAGCGCCAACTACGGACCACGGCGCGCAAGGGTTCCCGCGTCGCGATGCCTTGGTTCGTCGGGGCAGTGCAAGAAGCCAGTCTGTCGAATTCTCGGGTGCTTGTGGCCCCTGCAGTTTGATCTTCTCATGTCCGGCGCGCGCCGCCCCAACAGCGCATGGCTTCGCGGAATTGCTCGCGCGCGAGCGGCGAGGAGCTGAGGGGGGGGAGAGGTCTGAGATCAGGGGGGGGGGGGCCTTAGCAGAGGTGCCCGAGCGACGGCTCAGACAGCCAGCTGCCGTTCAGTTGGAGCGAGACTGGGAGACAGTGGCGACTGCCGCGCGATTCCTGGAGGAGCGCCAGCAGGCGCCGGCAGCCGAGCAGGCCTCTGCAGCGACGGCGGACATGAGAAAGCTCGCCAACAGGCTGGAAATTGCAGTTGCTTCCGAGCGCTGGGCGCAACGCCTCAAGAAAAGCGCCCTGCTGAAGGGGCGCGGCGCGCTGTCCAGGGGGCTGGCGAAGCTCGGCGTGCGACCGCGTCGCAAGCGGCCCAGGAGTTGGGGTCAGCGGAGGCTCGGAACGCGCGGTTAGCCGCGGAGGCAGCCGCTGCTGTCAAGCGGGCCGAAGCGGATCGTGTCGTCGCAAGTGGGGGCCATGCTCGTTTCGCGGCTGAAATGTAACGCGCCCGGGAACAGATGCGTCTAATCGACGCGAGCGTTGAGGGGGAAGTTTCGGCGAGTGGTCGCGCGGCGGAGCAGGCGGCTGCGTGGGCGTTGAGGGGCCGGGAAGCTGAGCGAGACAAGTTGAATCGCAAGCTGAATGAGCATCAGAAACAGTGGAGCCCGATCGGGGCGTCCTCCGCAGCATCATCGGGGACAGGGTCATCAGCGGAGTCGGATGCTGTCACTGCGCGTATTGCACCGTCGTCGGCCCCGCCAGTGGTTGGGGGATCCGCTTCGCAACGGAGCGCGGGACGTAACGCCTATGCGGGGGCCTTGCGGTGTTTCTTGTGCTCCAAGGTGGTTGCTCGCGACTGCGCCTCATGCGGCGCGGGCATTTGCGACGAGCACTTCGTGCCAGACAGTGAGGCGCGCGTGCGATGCAATGGAAGAGACGCAACCGCAAGAAACAATGAAGCTGGATAGTGACATCGGAAGAAAGAAAGTGAGGGGCGCCAGGAGAGGGACAAGCTCGAGGAACAGAATGCCGCTGCGCCCATGCCGAGGGCCAGCTCTCGCGATCGATTATCTCCTACCCGCGCATGCAAGCCTAGGGATTTGATGGCCGCCGGGCCAGGGGCGTCGAAACGAATCGGCTGCTCGAGTTAGAAGAGGCCGCGAGAGCTGAAGATGAGAGGCGCGAGGATGCGCTCGAACAAGTTGCGCTGCGGGCAGAGGGCCGCGCCGGGATGCGCGCTGAAATCAGGGTGAAAATCCAAGAGGCGCGCGAGAAACGGACCGAGGCGGCTGCTGCTTCGACGCGGCAAACCCAGAATCATGAGCAGGATTTGAAAACTAACCCGGAAATTGCCCGTGCCATCATTGGGGCCTCTCTCCCGGGATACACGCCTCTGGCATGGGGGAATTTGCCGAGCATCTTCAGGCAGGGGGGGGAAGTGATGATGATGCAACTCCGCCGAGGACGGCGCCGGCGCCGAAACATCCAAGCTCGGGTCCGCCTGGCGAGGGCAGCGGAGATGATGGTGATGATGATGGCGAGGTCGATGATGATTTCTGTCTGGAAGACGAAGGGCTCCCAGCTCCTGATGGGAAAGGGGGTGGCGATCCGCCGGGCGGCGGCGGCGGCGGCGGCGACGGCGCCCCTTTTCCGTTGATGGATGTCGTTCCTGCCGCATCGCAGCGTCGCAATTGCGCAGACGAGACGGAGAAATCGTTTTGTAGGCGATCCCCGATGCTGCTAACTACCAGCGGTGGCGGCGCAGCGCGGTCGGGTCCGCGGCGTCGGTTTCGCCGAACTGCGAAGAAACCGTCAGTTGGGTAGCGGGCGCTTCTGACCTTTCAGAACGTTAAGGCCGACTCGACCTGATGGGCGCAGCCGACCTCATGGCAAAGGTCGACAACGCATTTAGAGACAGGCAGTTCTCGTTTCAGCTCCGTCATCCTGCGAGTGAATCGAGAGGATGGACGTCGTTTCGCAACCCGCCAGGAGCATGATGAAAGGCTGCGAGATTTTGTGCGCCATTGCCGTGCGCGTGACCGCCCGCCAGGATCACGGCCAGGTATATGCGCACGCGGACCTCGTGGAGATTGAGTTCCGTGGCGCGGGCAAGGAAGCGGATAGCGACCTATTCCACTTCTGTGGCGGGTGGGTGAGGACACTTAACGAGATGGGGGAATGGGGCGACTTTTTCCGCCCCGCAATACAGGCCGACGAACCGTCGAACATGCCCAGCAACAGTGCGACGCGCCGCTGGGCGCGGTGGGGCGACAGCGCAGCCTCCCAGGCCGTCGCAGTCTCCACTGCCGAAGGACCCGCCACCAGCTATGCCGCGTGGGCAATCGATGCGCGGCGGGGCCCCACTTCCGCTTCCGACATCGCCGCCGACGCCGCCTCTGGCCCCGCCTCCTGTTGCCGGGCCGTCAGTTGCGCCGGCGGGTCCGCCGCCCCCGGCCAGGCAGCCGCTGGCGCCCGAGGGCGCCGCCCCCGGCGGGGTCGCCGCCGAGGCAGCGCCGCGAATGGCGCGGGCGGTACCTCCTGCGACAACAACGTCGGCGCCGTCAAGGGAATCCCCGCACTACTCTCCCGGGCGTCTCGACTCTGGATCACCAGGCAAGGGGTAGTTTCAACGAGAACATCTTCGGGAATCACGCTGGATATAGGCGTCGCGT